CACACACACACACACACACACACACACACACACACACACACACTTGTTTGTTCCACTGTCCCCATGAGGACATTTAGTAACAAAAAGCTGCCCACACTCCCTCACCCCAAACAACTTAACCCAAACCCCCAAACCATGTCTTAACCCTCCAAAATAAGAGTCTGAATCAAACATAAATTCCCATGAGGCCGGCATGCCTTCCATTTAAAGTCTCCACAGTGATAAAAAAAAAATAACACACATTGCACACAGAGATAACTCGAAAATAATGAGGTCTGTGTTCTGGCCAAGAGTCCGTGCAGAGTAAAGGTGCCCTGTAGCAACACAGAGACGAGAGAACAAAAGAGACAGCTGATGTCAGAGAAATCCTGCAGCCAGTTCAGCCTGGTCTCCTCCTGTCATAAAAATGAGCTCAACTCACAATCAGTGCTCATGCCAGTAATCAATGAAACACTTATCCTTGTTTAAAAAACATCCACAAATAGATCAAAAAGCTTCACAGGATGCTTTAATTCAACGTCTGAACTCTGTTGGGTTTTATTCTGTATAAAGACATCCAGAGACCAGCTGTAAACTAGACTCAACTTACCAATGAACCCAGAGTTCCCGGGACCAATCATCCATATTTCAGAGGTGACTGACAACAGCTCCTGACGGAACACACCATATGGAGTTAACAGAGTCAATATTTTATTACTCTGGGCAGGAGGTACAAAAATAGATACATTTAGACCCAAGCTGTCCCTCGTTTATCTGGGAAACATTTAGTAGTGTTCATTTTAATTCCTGCCAAATTGTTTCATAATTTCCCACCCTAATCGTAACAATAACTAAATTAATAATTATAATTGATGTCCAAATGATGGTTAAATTAAATATCAGTGTTCTCTTCATTTACATTGTTTGAATTGGTCACTGTACAATAACTCAAATGGTTCTGAGGTTCTCCTTTGGATTATTAAGTGTGGATAAGATCAGGAATGAGATCATCAGAGGTACAACACATTCAACCACTGGGAGATAAAGTTAGGGACTGAGATGGTTTGGAAATGTCCAGAGGAGGGAGATGCAGCTTCCTGGAAAAAGACAAAAGAGGAGAAACAGAGGTTAGACAATGAAAGTGAAACACCTGGTTTTAGACCATAACATCCCTTTCAGACAGCTTCCTCTTACGTCCACAGTTAGTCCTGTTGGATGTGGTTGGTCCTTCTTGGTGGTATGCTGACATTACCCTGGACACTGTGGCTCTTGATAACATCACAAAGACTTGCTGTCTTGGTCACAGAAGCTCCAGCAAGATGTGCACCAACAATTTGTCCTCCTGGTGGAGTTTAAAACTGCTCAAATTATGTTCAAGGCTTCAAATAAATTATTACCCGAGCCCATACAGAAATTGTTTCTTGATAATGAAGGGGTATATAATTTAAGGTGTTATTTAAATTGAAGGAGTCGTAGGACACGTACAACAAGAAAGAGCTTTTGTATTTCAATTCATGGTGTCAAACTATGGAACAAACTAAAAGAGGACTTTAAAAAGAGTCAAAGTTTAATACAATTTAAAAGAAAATATAAGGAGGCTATTTTTTCAGGACATAGAAATATGAATGGGTGAGTGGGTGTATAAATGGGTAAATGTTAACTAATAAGTGCGTATGAATGTATGTGTATAAATGGATGAATATATATGTAGTCACCATAAATATGTGTGTGTAGTGCACTTATGCCAAAAAAGGCAACTGTGAAATGGAAATAGATTTACTTAAATCTCGATGTTTGTTCAGGTGCATTTGATTCATGTGTTTATGTATCCTTTAATGTGTAGATATGAGTGATTGTAACACAAAGGGTTGTACAAGGGTAAATATAAATTTACATTGTGATTTAACAATTTACTAAGTCCACCTGAGGTTTATTACATATTATTTGAAAATAGTACGGGGAAGGAGTTTATAAGTTTTTTACTTCTCCCTACTCCATTTCGAACATGTTGAGATTATTATTCTCATAAAATATGTGTATTTTGTATTTAATATGTGTAATACGTTTAAGTATGGTTATCTCTTTGTATGGTCATCATGTTCGAAATAAATTTGATTGATTGATTGATTTTGAACTCTAGTATATCACCCATAATGTTGTGTGTATTGTAATATTTTAAGCAAAATTGTGCTCTTACCCTGCTAATCGAACCTTCATACTCTACTCTTACTAGTGCAATGTGCAATTAATAAGACTGGCCACCAGGCTGGTCCAGTTTAGCCATGAAACCTCCCACACTAAAATGATCTGTTTCAGTTTCATCGTCTAACCCCTGTATATGGATGCAGTTAGAGAGGACATGGAGGTGAAGTGAGATGGATGAGGACAACTCGCTGCGGTGACCCCCCGAAGAGGGAACAGACGAAAGAAAAAGAAGAATACTATAAAACAAGAGCCCCTCCAGTGTGTTGTTGTTACACAACGCACTTATAAAACACCTCATCCTTTGTTCCAAACTCCTTCACCAGTTCACTGCAATAAAGACGGGTAAAGTAGGTCGTTCCTGCCCACTGACATAACCTTCTACAACAACTCAGTGTGCTGCAGTGAATAATAAC